TTCTAAAATTTTTAAAAATATAAAAAGACCTGTTAAGAAAACATGATTTCTACTACTATTTTTGTAATACTGAAAGGTAATTATAAAATTTAAGTTCATTATTAAATATTTATCTTTTTTTTTTATTGGCACAATTAAATATTTATCTTTAAAATTAAGGAAGTTCGATATCTATATATATATAATTGCTGGATAATCCTATTTAATAAAACATTTAATAAAAAGATTTCAGTTTCCCACCCAAAGACGTTACAGGGCATGTATATATAGAACTTTTTTTTTAATAAACACACACCTTATTATTTGCATGGATTATGCTGATTATTTAATATGATTAGGCAGTTACAATCACGTCCATGAATGATAATTAGTTATTTTCTTATTCTTTTTTATTTTGCTCCATGAATGAATACAACATATACAAATAATTACATTTAATAATAAATTAATTGAACACCCCAAAAAATAATAAAAAAAATTACAAATACGTTCTTAATTGACCACCCTTAAGCTTCGATTAGACCTGCAAAAAAAGTAAAAAAAATACAAATCAGTAAACATTATAGGAATGTTATTATTTCATGATTTTAGCACATGATTTATTCATATTTTATTATTAATTGTCAGTTACAAAATATGGAGAGCAATGGAAAATAAGTGGCGGACAAACTAAATTTTAAACTAAATGAAATAAAATTCGAAAGCATTTAAAAATGGGCGGGTAATCTAAATCTAAATAAAATTCAAATGAAATTTAAAAGCAATAAAAAAAGCGGCGGGAATAGTCTGTGGGTTGGGTTGTTAGTTATTAAGAACCAAATATCAGTTACAAATTTAGAAAGGAAGGAAAAAGAGAGGGATGCGGAAAAGTGAAAGATAATATGATATATTACAAAAACAAGAGGAGTGATTTTTGCATATATTATTATTAATAAATATTTTATATTAAACTAAATGAAATAAAATTCGAAAGCATTTAAAAATGGGCGGGTAATCTAAATTTAAATAAAATTCAAATGAAATTTAAAAGCAATAAAAAAAGCGACGGGAATAGTGTTTGTGGGTTGGGTTGTTAGTTATTAAGAACTAAATATCAGTTACAAATTCAGAAAGGAAGGAAAAAGAAAGAGATGCAAAAAAGTGAAAGATAATGTGATATATTACAAAAACAAGAGGAGTGATTTTTGCACATATTATTATTAATAAATATTTATATTAAATGTGCCAATGTGATTTTGACCATACTAAGACCATATATATAGGTCCACCATTCATTCACAACCTCATTGCTATTAACCATCCAAACAAAAACATTCTTCCTCCAACGTTTTAGAAAAAACAGCAATGGCATCAACCTTTAACAATTTGACCTTCTTGGCCAAAAACAAGAATAAGACAGCCTCTTAGATTGGTCATAACCTACCCGCGCTTTTATCAGTCGAACAAAGCAAAAATAAGCGGACATGAATTTGTTTTTCTTGATGTGAAGGTATACAATTTTTTTACTTCTCTAATATTCAATTATTTTTTACTCGCAGCATTTCTACTGCCATTGCGTTTGACAATCTTCATTAATTTGGTTTTTTTAGGGCCAGCGTATACACGGCTAAGCACCCGGATGCTTATCGCAAAAGTTTAAGAATTTAAACTTCTTGAAGGCATGGTGTACGACATCACAAATTTTGCACTTGTGGAGGACAAAAATGCATTCAAGATAACCAAATCAAGTCACAAGTTGATTTTCTACAGACAAACTAACATGCATGACATAGTTGATGACGAGTATCCGAGGTTGATGTTCGAGTTCAAGCAATTCAACGAGCTAACCGACCCCGAAACGATTGATCCTTGCACACCTTTTGGTATTTTTTATTTTGTACTTTTTAAATAATACAAATTATGGTAATCTTATGTTATTTACTATTTTTTTTTTATTTGTAGACATAATTGGCCGTGTTGTTTTGTTTCAAAACATACATACAAGAAATTCAAATGGCGGTCAAAAGAGATATGTTGACATTGTTCTTCAAGATGTTGAGTAAGTTATATACACATACAACTTTGGTTTTATTTTAACTTGAGCATTGATATCTTTCATAAATTAATTGTTTATTTTTTTGTGCAATGTAGGGGCTGCCACCAAACTTGCACCCTATGGGAATCATATGCGGAAAAGCTGATAGCCTCCTACAAAAAGTCGGATCCAACGGAATTGAAAATACTCATAATCCAACTTTTCCATGCAAAGTCATTTGATGATGGTATATATTATTTTGCCTAATTGCTCCTATTATTATTTTAGATTTATTTTACAATTTTAATATTGTCCCAACAACATTTATTTTTTGTAGGATCTGTTTTGGTTTCCAACATTTATGATGCTACAAAATTGATAATCAATGGGATCAAGTGCTCTGGCATTCCGAATCATAAACTGCACCTCAAGGTCGGCACTCCAGTGATGCTTCTCAGAAACATTGACCACTCCATGGGGTTATGCAACGGTACTGTTCATCAAAATTCAATTTGTCATCTACATTTCCTTTTATCTTTGTACATTTTGAGTGATATGATTTTGTTTTCCGAGTTTTGTTGTCAACAGGTACACGGTTGGTTATATCACTAAGCTCAGCAGCCATGTTCTCGATTGCAGGATTTTAACTAGTGCCAAAGCTGGTGACAAGGTTCTTATTCCTAGGCTCACAATCATACCATCAGATTTGAGGGTACCGTTCAAATTTCAGCGCAGACAATTTCCACTCATGGTCTCATATGCTATAACTATCAACAAGAGTCAAGGCCAACCACTGTCCCACGTCGGATTACTATTGAAGAACCCTGTATTCAGTCATTGACAGTTGTATGTGGCACTATCTAGAGTCACAAATCAGAGGGGTCTGTAGATAATGATTTGTGGTGATGGAGATTTTGACGATAGAAAAACCACGAACGTTGTATATAAAGAAGTGTTTAGTAATATTTAGATTTAGATTTTATTGGTTAACTTTTTTCTCAAGATCATGTTATGAATTTTATAATTATTTTTTTTTTTATTTTTTCCTCTATCGTATATTTTTCCGTGCATGTGCACGGGTCAAAAGCTAGTTTGAGTTAAACGAACAAATGTCAAACTAACTCGGTGAATAGCTTCGGGTACAGAGGTAGAGCACTCGTTTTCGGTGACATAACTGTTTTTTTTTTTTAATTTTTTTTTATTTTTTTAATGTTATAAGACATCTTTCATCTGCATGTTACTATCTCCTATTCTTTTTAAATGTCAATTTGGCTTTATCAACCATTGACTAAATAAATGACATTTTGGACCTTTTGTACATATTTTTCCATTATTACCTTCATTTAGCTAATAAATACACTACATCTTTTCATATTCACTCTTCATTTTTATCTCAAAATAATAAAATATCCGCACCTAATCGCCCTTGATGCCATCTTGGCGGTATCGGTGTCCAGTCCGAGCCACTTGCCGCCATCAACGCTGCATACTCTGTCTTCGCCATGGCCGTTCTCAGCGTGGGGGATAGATATATATCATCGGGGAAATCAAGCCAGCAGCCTCTAACGGGCACAGGTACATTATGGTAGCGATTGATTATTTCTCGAAGTGGCTAGAAACCGAGTCCTTCAACACAAGGTGGGGGCAAAGAAAATGGCACGGTTCATAGAGAGGAATATCATCTGTAGATATGGGGTGCCGCACCACGTGGTAACCAATAATGGTGTGCAATTCCAGGCGGAGGTGAAAGGATTGTTCTTGAAGTACGGGATTGCTCATCATAAGTCTTCCCCATATAGACCTCAGGCTAATGGAGCAGTTGAGGCTGCAAACAAAAACGTGAAGAAGATATTAGCCAAAACCACTCATACGTACAAGGATTGGGCAGATAAGTTGTCTTTTGCTCTATGGGGATACAGAACAGAACGTCTATGAGAAGCTCAACTGGGGCTGATGGTAATGTGGGGCGGAGGTACTCAGCGTGCGAAAAGTACCGGGTGAGTGTCTAGGGTTTTTATTTATATTCTATTGATTTCAGTTTGCAAGTTTAATTGGGGATCTTTTTTCGACATTATCAACAGTCTTTTTATTTTTTATTTTTTATTTTTTCGAATTCCAGATGTTGGATGGGTGCACATACCATGTTTGGGTTGACCCTCCAATGTGTTACAGAGCACAACAACTCATTCTCGGGCTTCTGAAACGGGCCAAAAAGTTGGGAGAAGATATTGCTAGAAGGAAAAAATGGGAGACGCTCATGTTGTTTGCAATTATTGGTTTGATTGTTCTATGCTTCTTGAAGTGTAATGGGTGTGCTTGAGTTTTGACTGAAACTAGTTAAAATAGATGTACTTGGTCATTTTTGGTGTGCTTGAGTGTAATGGGTGTGCTTGAGTTATGACTGAAGTGTAAGGGGTGTGCAATGTTGTATTTGGTCATTTTGGGAATGCAATGGATGTATCTCTTTTGTGAATGCAATGGAAGTTTCTTTTTTATTTTGTGGACAATGTAATACAATGGTGTATTGGTATTTTCCAAAACAATGTAATGTTATGGTGTATTGTTCATGTCATGAATGCAATGAACTAAGTTTGAAAGCTGTGATGTTTTTCTGGTTATTTTTTGCACATTATTGGTGCCATTAGGGATTAATAAACAACAGACCCTAACAGACACTTGACTAATACAATGCAGAGAAATCAAAACAAGCCATTTTTATTCTTAACTTATATTTTAGGTATACTTATCATTGGAAAAAATACATACTAAGCTCACACAATCACCCTAACAGATATGAAATTTTACCCCACATTCAAGTCATCCACAGTTCATTGGAGCACTGCTAATTTGTATCACCTTAAAATGTGATTGTAGGAAATTATACGTCGATAAAAATACAACAAAGATACTCCCACTTCTTACAGAAACTCCTTAGAAAACATAATCAAGGTTGTACAACACACTAAGGCGACGAGCATCATCCTTTTTAGTTGTTTGTTTTCTCATGTAAGGATGATATAACCATTTCTTGCTCTGCATTTTTAGCACGTAGAGCCTTTATCTTCGTTGCCTTCTTTGCAATTTTCTGTTTAAGTAATTCTTCCAAGGCTTCTTTGCTTGATAATTGCTCCTCCAAAATGATCTTTTCAGACGTCAACTTTAAATAACAGTATTTTGTAATTCATCGTTTAACCAAACGAAGTAACGACAATCCTTACTGGTCTGAAAGCAATAAAAAAAATTAATGATTAAAGGTGAAGCCTTAAAATTTATTATGTGCGAAATTTTGAAGCCTTCAGTCGCTTCAAACAAATAATTTGACCCTGTTTTGAAAAACTTACATTGCGTAATGGACATCTATAGTACCGTCTGCATGGATTTTTTTCGGTGTTCGACGTCAACAGTAGGGCCTCCCTTCTGTGGTCGCAAAAACGATTTTGTCCCTGATTGCTCGAGCTACTCTGGTTGCGTGAGCTACTCCCTCGCATTTTGTTGGTCTTCAACAAGCCTAAGATTGTGTTCTACACTGCAAAGCATCAAATTATTATCAAAACTTGTGTTAGTTTTCAGAATTTGGAGTGTGGTACTAGAGAACTGGAAAAGGTCACGGGCTCTCTGAACTACAACATGGGACTGAACCATTCAAGCTATAGATGAAAAAGTTCACTGGCATAAAAGGAAAAGGACTATATTCTTATTCCCCTGACATTATATCACTCAATCATCCATTGAGTTGTCCTAACACAGACATCAAGTGAATATTAACTTTATCACATTATTAAAATAATGAATATATCCAGCTGGAAAAATCATGTGATGAAATTACTGAAGCATGCATACAAAGTCATAAATGATTAAAGTTGCACTCCTCTGCTTATAAATAGGGTATGGACATATGAGCTCAAGCACATCAAAGAGACACAATATTTCTACAATATCTGCTTAACAAATATAGAACACATATTCATTTTGAAATGGCTCCCAAACGTACCCGCAACTCTTCAATCTCGCAGGAACGGGTTTTTTTTAAGGGTGAGTGGACAAGGGATGTTGAGAAATTTTTTGTGAAGGAACTCGTAGCACAAGTTGTTGGAGGAAACTTCAAATTGGGGAAGCCTAATCATCACGCCATCCTCTGTGCCATGGGTGTGATCAACGAAAAATTTGGTAAGACCTTCGATTTAAAATTTTGTCAAGATAAAATTCACAAGCTTCATAGACGCTATCAAGTTTTCAAGTGGATACTTCAACAAAGTGGTGTAACCTACAATCCTGGGAATAATAAGGTCTATGCTAGTGACTTTACGTGGGAACACATTATCCGAGTAAGTGTGATTGGCCCTATTTTGGTATTTCTATATGCCTTAAGTGATTTGTAGTTTCATATTTTTATTTACCTTGGCATAAATTGATTTTTCTAGAATGAGAAGCTCGGAATGGCCTACATGGAACATGGTGAATCAACTTTCGATTCGCTGGAATGCCTGTTCGGAAAAGGTGAAGAGATGGAGCCTCAACCGTGCGCGAGAGTAGTGATTGACATTTCCGATGACACCATGAAGGAAGGTGATGAAGACGATAATGACGAGCATGATGCTCACCCACTCTTGGCTGTTGAGAACAACTTGGACAATACCAATAATGCTTTTCATTACGAACTTGGTTGGTACAACTCCGACTCCACTAGTGTATCGTTGCTTGCTGACCCTGAAAAGCCACCAACAACAGTCGCTTCTACTTCGGAGGTTTTGGGTAAGTTTAAGAAGCATTGGGCTGCACACGATTGGGAAAAGCACACAGAAGATGTGTACGACGAGATTCCAAACAGTTCAACAGCTTCGTCATCTCCATTCAAAATGTAGTTGGCCGTCATGCACGTAAATTTCGGTGGTTGATCTTTAATCGTACTCGTAGGATGACTATTTGGTTTATCTTTAATCGTACTCGTTAGGATGTTCTTGTATTTTCCATTCAATAACCAGCTTAGTCCTTTGGTTCTTTGCTTAGCAGAATTCTCTGGAAAGTTGGGTAGATTCAATGTTGCATAATTTTATGTGTGTTTGTGTGCGTGTGTGTGTGTGTGTACCATAATTTTTTTGAGAAGTATTCCATGCAGTGCTTGTTTTAGAATGAGTTTACTGTTTTAGGAGGGGGAACATAACTCTGTGTTCTTTTTTAATGTTTTGTGTTCATGTGAGATTTTTTGAGAGCATGATTTGGTTATGAATGTGTTTGTGTCTGTATTATGTTAGTTGTTGTATTATGGAGGCAATTTTTTTATGAAATATGAACTTTTAGGTATGTCTCAAATTCCACTTAGATTTCTGTTTTTCTTCAATAGCTTGTAAAGTTAGCCTCCCAGGTTGTAAACTTTTAGCTTTGTTTTAGAAAAATTAAGTTACAATTTAAGGAAAAACAAGTTGTAATGAATTAAACAATAGGGATCCTAGAGTTCAAGTTTTGTGGCTCAAATTTCCAACAGAAATAAAGCAAAGAAAAAAAAAAAGAGAGACAGAGAAAGGTCCAAACTGTAACAACAATGTAACAATTGCAAAGTTTCAGGACATATAATTTACTACTAAACATAGCTTCAATAAATAAAAACAAAATATTCAAAGATACACAACACAATTCATAAACTTAAATGAAAAGCAAAAGTTCCTGCTTAATAAAAAGTACACACAGTGCAAATTCATAAACTAAAATGAAACCCTATGAAAAGCAAAAGCTCCTGCTTAATTCATTTCGAAAGCACAGTACACAAAAATTCACCTTAAAAGAAGCACAAAACCTTTCCACAACAAACCAAGAATCCAAGAATGAAACAGCAAAACAGTTCATAGCAAACGTCATAAATCATCCAAAACATCAAGTACATAATCAACCGTACAATGGGCACCGTTCATAGCCCAAATTAAATGCCAATGTACCAAGTCTTTCGTGCATTGGCATAAATGTCATACTTACCATTCTAAATATTAAACGTGCTAAATCATCCAAAAGATCACATACATAATAAACCATACAATGGCCAACATATCATAGTCGAAAATAATAGGTAAGGTACCAAGTTTTTCATGTCACACATAACTAAATATTTCCACCCAATTTCATCCAAACATATTCTTCTTGAGCTTCTTTTCCAAGGCTGAAGAATAAATCTAACTCGTCGGTGTTTTTTACCAACATTTTTGACACGATAAGCCGTTCTTTTAGAGTCAATCCTTCAATACCACAAACAATCAAATAGATGTCTTTACGAGCACTTGAAACATCGTAGTCATACCCGATTCTTTTTGCAATTTCCCCCAGCCTTGCATTTGTGTTCTCAGCAAAGTTTTTCATTACTTCAACTAAAGGATCAACTATTTCACCTGATTTACGTTTATGCCCGGTACTCTTTTTTGTTCCAGCTGACGATGGTGGATTGCTCTCGGACTTTCTCTCGTTCACCTCTTCATCCATATCCAAATTCAAATCAGGAGTGTCTTTGGGTTGGCTAAAAGTAGGAGTTGGTGTAGAAATGTTAATGTTGTTGACTGCATCAAATAAGTCCTCGGCCACTTGTCCAGTTGCCCGATCTTTTCCAAATATCTCTATCCAATCATAATAGTAAGACCAACTCTTATGACGCATGTTACGTGCGTTACCATCCAACTATGAAAAAACAAAAACAAGAAAGCAGTAAGGACTGAGCATGTCACAAATAACTCAATTTATACTTTATAATCTAAAATGCATCCTAATGTCTCTCGTAGTGAATACTTAATAAAAATCTTCGATTCGTAATGCAAAAAAAAAAAAACAAAAAAACAAAAAAAAATGACCTTTATATAATCGGCCCATGCTTCATCAGATACTTCAATCATCATTTCAGACTCATTCCAACCCATCCCAGTTCTGGAAAGCATTGTAGAAAGACTGTCGTAATCTTTCTACCAAACATGAATTTTAGAGTTGATGTGTGGCATGCCTCGTAAATCAGTACCGGGTAATGCTTTGACTAGCTCCTGAACATTTAAGAACCCAGTCTTAAAACCATTTTCTGATTACCACCCTGTTGTCATGATTCCTTTAAGAGCTGAAATTAGTACTTCTTCCTCTCGTCTACTCCAACTGCGTCTACTTTTTTCAAGACGTGGTTGTCTAGGTTTTGAGCTCCCTTGCCCAACAGTATGCATGTTTGCTACAGACAAATTGAAACCACGAATGAAGGCATAACAATGAAATGAAATTTACATCCAATTAACCTTATTACAGTTAAAACTACAATTGAAAAGAAAGATATATACTATCAAACAACAACAAAGAAAAAAAACTACTATTGAGCAGTACATCATGTTGGGTTCGATAGTACCGTACGGGCTGTACGCAGCGGAATTTAAAATTTTTAAAGTAAGTATTTATCGTATAAATACAACACCCGTACATACTAATTGCGAATTAACTGATCGTCATCTTTAAAACATGCATCATATACAAATTTTGATTTGTTACTATAAAGTAAATACTAGTAAAAATATTTACCGAATGTCTTGAACTCCTTCACTATTGATGATGGATGAGGGAATCGGTTCCCGGTTGTAACTTCAACGACTTGAGGTTACTCGCTAGAGGAATCCAAGTGTCTTCCCTCTAAACGTATCCACCCTATGAAGCCCGGTTCCGACGACTTTCCTTCGCTAGTAGAAAAGACTCGGTTTTCTTGTATAGGAATATTTATGAATTTTATTTGGGAATTTTAAGAACTCTTTCTTGAAGTTTTATGAAGAACACTTTCTTCTCTTTCTAACACTTAGAAATTTAGGATCAAAACCTCACTTAAATGCAAAACCATTTTGCACATATTTATACTAAACATTTTAGCATAAAATAATCAACATTTAGTAATATTTAAATAAAATCAAATTTTATTTAAATAGTATTTACTAACTTTTGACTTTGAAAATAATAAGATATGTTAAGTAGTTCAAACAACCATCAACAACCATTTTATTATAATCATATTTATTATTTTAATCCTTAAATCATATTTAAAGATATAAATAATAATTGGATAATAAATCTTGAGAATCTTTCTCAAGACTTTATTATTATATCATTTTCCCAATATTATAATAATCATATTATTATTATTTTGGATTTTTGAAATTTAAAATCCTATTTTAAAATTCAACTTTATTAATTTAGTAATTACCTTAATTACTAAAGTAATATCCAAAATGTAATTAATCAATCTTATTGATTAATATATTCCTTTAATTGATATCTAATCAAATTAGATATTTATCAATTAATTCTAACCATTAGAAATACAATCTTTACCTTTGTTCATAATTAGTGTGACCTTTTAGGTTCACCTTAATACTAGTAGTGGGTTTACAACACTTTGTAATTTGAGTTAAATCTTATTAACTCTTATTCATGAATTAACCCTTTAATTTATGAACCCACATATCATGGTAACACCTAGCAAGTAGCATGAATCTAGTATTAAGTGAATAGCGAGTAAACCTATTCCGATTACAACTCCATACATGTAAAATCCTTTCGACATCTAATTTCCCGATTAAGTCTTGGGTATGATTTTGTCGAAACCCAAATTGACTTAATAACTATGATTCTATTTCATGTTTATTAACCCGGTTATGAATCACTATTCATCTCTGCCTTGGCCAAGGACTTTGGATTAATAACTATGAAACACATAGGAAATTCACTTATCTTCATAAGTGTCGAATCCTTTATTGGCCACTAACAAACTTCCATACATATTAACATAATACCCAACTTATCCCTTTAAACGATAGTGCTAGCTACCAAAAGGATAAATCAAAGTAGAATGTAATATGCACAAAGTTACCATTGTGCCTCAAGTCTTAGGATTAGTCATGTACTATTGTAACATGAAAATTCTTATTCGACTGAATAAATTCTTCATTAAGAATTTTCATACGGTCATGTTCAGTGAACTTGTTCTCTAACAAGCACCCACATAAATGTACTTACGTCTTACGCTAATGTTGATGGAATGCAACATTCTTGTCCAACAAGCATACAAACTATGTGCAAGTCTTTTATGGATTATTCGATATCCCATCTCGAAACATCCATCGACTTGGAACTGTATTTAAGATCACGGCTTTCAAGGTATGTTCCATGATCACCATCTCTATGCGCAACCATACCTTATAACCATAAGTGATCTAGGGATTTTATCTTAAGTGCAATTATAAGATAAATGCTTTCTCTTAAGATAAAGAAATGCCTTATTCATAATATAATTCCAATAGACTGTATTTACAAGTAGAATACGTCCAATTAGATTGGAACGCCGGGTACCCTACTCTAACACATCATTGTTAAGAAAACATTCAATTCATTCAAAGAGATCAAACAAACTCCAACATTCAAAGTGTCATACTACAAACATTATCCATGCGGTTCAAAAGAGTTTATGTCATTACCGCAAGAACAAATAAAAATGCAAATCATAATGAACCCTAATGTGGTTAGCACACTAAATACATCTCCACTCATTGAACATGAAATTAGCTAAGTCATCTCTCCAAACAGACCACACATTCGAGGTCTCTATAGCTTGTATGAAATCCGGTTGTTGGTCATGTTCGTGGTCTTCTTCAACTTCATTTTTCTCATCTTCTCCGACCATTACCTCAATAGGATCAATTGGAAGTTCACGGCGGATGAAATTATGTAGAAGTACACATGCCATTATCATTCTATTTTGAGTTTTAATGTTGTAAAAACTAGGACTTCGTAGGATCGCCCATCTTTTTTTCAAAATGCCAAATGACCTCTCTACTACATTTCTTGCTTTGGAGTGACACATGTTGAAAAACTCATGAGAGTTTTGTGGTGTGAGTCTCCCTTCACCCCAGTCCTTCAAATGATACCGGACATTCTTGTATGGGGTAAAAAATCCTTCACCATTTGTATAACCATTATCACATAGGTAGTAGTTACCTACAAGAAATATGAAGTATTTTATTAATTACTTTATTTTAATTAGTTTTTAATGCCTTGGAAAATTTATTCTCAATACCTCTAGGAATTTTCAGCCCTCTTGTTCTATGAATTGCATCCTTTAGCACACGACAATCGGCTGCAGACCCTTCCCAAGATTTCGATCTACTACGCCTAGTACATTCACTGCAACTTCACCCTTTCTCGTTCGATACCGCGGTTTATCTATTTCAGGAACTGTCTCTTTGATATGCGTTCCATCTAAAGCATCTAGACACCCCTATTAAAACAAAAACATATTTTTGTTACTTTATAAAAGAAGATGAAATAAACTTTTATTTCTTCTCTTTGTTTTTTTTACTCATCTTCTCTTCATAAAATTGGCTTTGTATTTTATGAAATTAAAAATACCTTGAACCACTTCCATCTGTTGTTATTGTTGTATGAATCATCAACTGGTTCTGGTTTCACTAACAGCATCTCATGCAGACGCAAAACCGCCAAAAGCACCTCATGTACATAGATACTTACAGTTTGACTAGACCTCTTGAAGTCAAATTTAACCACTCTGATCTTCTTATGATGAGCTATAATAGATAGAAAGAGAGCTACCTTCTCCGTAACAGACACGTACTTGGAATCGGATAATCCACCAGCAGTACGTAGAAGGTAACAAAGCCTTGCAAAGGCTCCCTTCGTCATCCTCAAGTTTTCTAAACAATCTACCTCATTCATTGCAACCAAACAGTTTAAGTGTTCTACTTGATTCGGAATCCTACTGGACATTGTATACTTCATGCGCTTGGAAATTAATTCACCCCTATCATCGTTTTGTTTCGCACGTATGGCAACAACCATATTCATGAAAAAGGTAGTCACATTCATGATTTCTTCAATTATAATGAGAAGTTCAGTCTTTCTCCTAGATAACTCGGCCATTGCGTTCAACAACAAAATCTGAAAGTATATAATGTAAATAAACGACTACAAAAAGTTTGAATACCAAAACTCAAACAATGCTTACATGATACAGTAAGTAATTCTAGGAAACAATTTTGTGTAAAACTTACACAAAATAAGAAAATCAGTTGAACTCAAGAGAAAAATCCAAAAAAAGAGAGCATATACAGAAAAAAATAAACTGGGTCTGTTAAAAAACACAAAGCAGCAGCACAAACATCAGAAATAAATAAAACATATTTTTGTTTTATTGATCAACATGATGAAAAAACGCACACAAAATAAGATTATCAGATGAACACAAGAGAAAAATCGAAAAAAGAGAGCATATACAGAAAAAAAATAAACTGAACCCTGTTAAAAAACACAAAGCAGTAGCACAAACATCAGAAATAAATAAAACATATTTTCGTTTTATTGATTCTTTACCATTTCTTACTAACATTGGCTTCAAAAAAAAAAAAAAAAAAAAACCAACTTGAAAGCTAAAATATGAACTCATTTATACAGAAACTATTAACACACAATTATCCAGCCACACTATATTCAGCTCATTTGAGACGACCATAACTAGTACACAAATGGAAAAGCAGAACACAAGTATTATGGAAACACGCATCTCATTACTGAGACACACCCGAAAGAACAACAAAAACATCACAACTATACCGAAATCTACATACCAGTGATTTCACTAGCCTTCGCCTTTTCTCAGGTAGCGATTTATTGTTACAAAACCGTGCATGAGCTGCGCCGTCCACTCGCCTTCTTAACAGGGGTGAAGAAAGAAATGAGAGAAACCCTAGGTTTCAGATGAAAAAAGTGAAATGAACGCATAAACATAAAAAATGTATTAAGAAAGGGACAAAAAAAGTAAATGTGAAAAATAGGGGCAGATGGATGGAAAAGGTATCCCACAAAGTACACGGGATTTATTATCAAAAGAAATGAGTTCAAATTGACCGGGCTTTGGTCTTATTTCGGGCTCCAAGGGTTCCAACCAAACAAATTAAAAGACTGGAATTAATAATATTTTGGGGGATATCATCCCTTATCACCCTTAATGTAAATGAAATGATGAAAAGGGCCAATTATGTACCCTTTCTAGGCAAATATAGGTTTGTAAATTTTAAGTAGTGAACTACAGGCTCCAGCAATAGACTTTAGAACCAAAGATAAAATTGCAAATTTGGTTGAAGATATCTCTCTCTCGCCTCCTCCGAACCCAAGCTAAAAGGTACGTGCGCCTGTGCCTGATACTTAATTTTTTCACCTATCATCCTTTGGATTTTTAACCTCCGTTCTTTTGGCTAAATTTGCTGTTATTGGATGCAATGCAACAATTTCTTGTTTTTGCAGTAACCAAAACGGCTCAATAATTATTAAATTAATCTCAACCGCGATCTTATTCTGCAAAGCTGAAATAATTTCTCCGACAATGTTCCGCTCTGTCTCGACCGGAAAATCCAGCTTGAACTGGCTAGAACGGCTGCGAACCGCCAAGGGCTTCAACGACGACGGCCCTGCCGAGCTCGAAAACTTCCTGCAAAACCCCAATTCTGTGGACCCAAAACCTAATTCCGATCCAACTCAGAATGAGGACACGCAATTGTTCAACATAATGAGCAATGTTCTCAACGAGCTATTCATCTTTGGGGACAACAGAAGCAACTCGACGCAATTCAAGAAATCTGCTCGCAAGCAGAAAAACCCTAGAATTTGTGATGTAGGCCGCGAGAAGGAGAATGCAGCTACTGAGAAAGTGACGCTGCAAAGGAGTCGAGATGGTGAGGGGGTGAAGGAGCTTGATAACTATGAAAATGGAGGCAGAGATGTGGATTTGGTTGGGTTTTCACGTACGGAGGTGACTGTTATCGACACAAGCTATGAGTCGTGGAAATTTGACAAGTTCTTGTACAGGAAAAGGAATGTGTGGAAAGTGAGGGATAAGAAGGTAAATGGTGAGAGCGTGTGTATTAAAAGGAAGTTGAAAGAAAGTGGCAGATTGGAGGAGGAGCAACGTGTCGGGAAGAAAACAAAGGTTGATAAGAATCAAGGGAATGAGGAGGGGCTTGAGTTTCCATCGAATGAAGTGAGTTTTAGTGATTATTTTGAATGATGGTTTTGGTATCCTGCTTTTTTCTTTTATATCACGTTTACATGGTGAGATGTAGTTATGTTTTTTATGGTGGGTTAAACATGGTGCGAGTGATGCTGGATATGGGCTACAATATTATGCTTAGTGGATATTGGTTGGAGTACAAGCTGTTGCCTTTTTGTTATATACATATGCAATATTTGACATGATATGGATTATGATGGCTTTTTTGGGGGGGTTGAATGTCATGTTGTAGGGAAGCCTGTTACTGATATTTGGCTGATATTGTGAATAATCTCTATGGAAAGTAATACTAAGATGTGTGGTTGCTTTTCCTTTAGTTCTGTGTGATAAAATTAAATAAAACTTCCGATTTTTCTTCACATAGTTTATTTTATTTAATCTTTCTGTCAAAATGTAGGATAAGCTTTCACGTGGGATTTGTTGTACGTGCTTCAAACTTTTTTATTTCGATTTATCTTGTCTGTTGGTTCTGTCTTCTTCATTCAGAAGTTTGATATTATATAACCACGACCAAGAATATATCTTAAAGATCCTTTGGACTTTCAAGTAGTGCATGAATTTTGTGGACTAATCTTGTGCAAAATGCCCGTCTCTTTGGGAACAAAAATCCCCATATCTCGAATGAAGATACTCATTTATCCTTCGAATGTGGTGTTGCTCTATATTCTTTTATATGGTGCAGTCCTATTTCTAATGTTCTGATTTTCATTTTTGAAAGTTTTTCTATTTCTACTGGTTACTCTAGGATTTCTCTCACTTTGAGTGAAATGATTGGACTTGTTTCCTAGTGGTGTGCAGGATTGTGATGTCTTCAACTATAAGTTTCCATGCTTTGCCCTTAATCACTTTCTCATTTTCTATGATGTTGGTGTATCTATCAGATGAATGTACGTGAAGTATGTAAAACATCCCCAGAAGACGGGACTATGAAAACGAAGCAGTTGGACTCGTAAGAAATTTCCACTCTTTTTTTTTTGGTCTATTTGCATACTTTTCTCGAGTTAATAGAAAGAAACACTAACCCTAAATTTTAGCCTAGTAATAAAACAAACAAAAATATCTGCATCTTGTTCGTGCACCCTTGAGAGTTAAGTAAGGCACAGGCATCAGTTAGGTATTTGCAACACTTTATGAAGGTGGCCCTGATTTTGGAAGGATTATTGGAGTGTCCATTTCCTTAAGAGTAAATTTTAATGTTCTTTAGATTTTTTCACACGTGCCTACTACTAAAATTTTCTGCATCTTTTGGCCTTACAGGAAGTTGAATGATGGAAGCTCGTCTGTTATTCTTATCAAGAGCATTCACACCAGTAAAAAAAATGGACCGAGCATTTCTAAAAGCTGCTTAAAGTCAAAACAGAAGAGAACTATGCTAATTGGCGGTTCTGGAGTGGAGATCTGCCAGGTCAAGAAAGTCGGATAATAACATTTGTCCGTTTATTTGAAGGCAGCTTTGAGTTGTAGATGAGCATCTATGAGGCATTTTGGGCCGTCACAGACTAAAACTTTTTTACATTATCGAAATTTACCTTATTAGCTTTCCATTGCCTTTTCACCTTCTCTTTTGGGTGGTCAGACCGCTTGCACATATCCGATTCCTATATTATTTTGTTGCATATTAAGCGAAAGTATGAGATTGTTGGTGAAATGAACAATCATGTATCATTTCCAAACTGCTTCTGTTTTCGAGGTAAGATAAAATGTGAATTTTTAATTGTGCATAAAAGAAAGGAACTTAAAACGAAAGTAGGGTGGTATATATAAACGGGAGAATTGAATTGGACCGAATTGAAAACAGCCTTTTCAGTTTAATTCTGTACATAAATGTTTTATAAATGATTTTGGTTTTCATTTCGTGTTATTTGTTTTTTTTCTTTTCGGGATATAATTTAAATGAAGAATTCCATACATATAGGAGGTGTATGCAAATTAGGACCAGTGTGTGGGTCCAGACACAATGATTTTTAATTTTATTTTTTTTTAACTAGGCCCCAAGTACAAATTAAATTTCTAACTCAAACCCAAACCCAATATCGAAAATTATAGGGAGATTTTTACATATCCTAAGTGAAATTAAAAATTTTGTAAATCTATCATCCATTAACAAGTAATTGTGTCTACAGCTATCTTTGATCTTTTTGTTCATATTTCTGGTTTGGTGGAATCTTTCAGTATTGTAAATTTGTTTAGGTTTGATATTTGTATTTTGGGCCATATGTGGGCTGCTTAGGGTGAAAGTTTGCCTTTTACTCTCTTTCTTCTCTTGCTAGTTTCTTCTAGTGGGTTAAGGATTGTAATTAGTGGATTAATCGTGTGAACCTTGTNATGTATAACATGTTATATTCTCTATACAAAAAAATCTTCTAATATACTGAACATATACTCCTTATACACACAACATATATTGAACAGTGTACGAAAGCATCTTCTAATATACTGAACATATACTCTCTATACACACCACATATACTGCATGTCTATACACGTAACATATACTGCCGTGAACATATACTATACATATAACGTAGATATACTGTACATATACTCCAATCCAAAGTCTGCGAATTTCAACGTACTACATGATCTACACACAGTCCAATACCCCTAAAAAATCGAAACAAAATTCAATTTTCCTGCAACCAACCAATCATATCCCCCGATCATGGTGACGCCGAAACTCTCTTTAGAAGATGCCGGCGGTAATTGAGGAAATCATCATCCGGATTATATTCCTCTTCTCCCTCGTCGACTCTTTGGAGAACGATTCTCGGATCACCTAGGGTGTGGGGTGTGGTTGGCCTCTGGTGTGGCTCGCGTAACACGGCGACGATGGCGTGCACGCTCTCAACGACGGCGACGAGGAGGGCTCGCTGCACGTTCTGCGGCTAGGAGGGCTCGCGGTCGTCGTTGCTCGGCGGCTGCTGCGTGGTGTTTGCTTGCGGCAAGAAAGCTGTTGTTTACCTGGAGAGGATGCCGACTAGGGTTGTTGTCGCCGGAAAAGACCGAAGAGAGGTTTTTTCTGATGAAGATGTTGAACGTGAGGCAGTAGGTGTTTTTCTTTTTCTA